CCCCAAAACCCCAAAACCCCAAAACCCCAAAACCCCATTCTTGAGGGTAAATTGAAAAGAAAATTAATTTTATTTTAAATGGCACGAACCAAAAAGGGCACGATCAAGAGTGTAATAATTTTCAGCAAGCTCTGGGTTGAGGACTAAAGAGATTAGTTTTGATCCATTCTTTTAGAGATGTTATTTATAAAGCTGATCGTAAAATTCAATAAGGATATAAGCTAAGATTGGATCAATAGATTAAAATGTGTGTAAATTTATTCAGCTTTCTGTCAATAAATTAAAATATAAGAAAATCGTTTATTTTTAAAGAAATACTATGGTGAACATTTCTCATTATTTCTTCCAAAGCTATACTTCTGCATATTTAACTTCCTCCTACAATATATACTAAATTTTTAATAGAGGAATAATCTCAGTGAAATTCCCATTGAAAATTTTACTCTGATCAAAGAAATCACTTTGGACAAATCAAAGAAGAGCAAAAGAGATAGCAACAAAAGATCTAAGAGGACCGTAAAAGCACAAAATACAAAGCCTAGAAAGAAAAGTGTAAGCACTGCAGGAAAGAAGACTCCTAGAAAGGAAGAACCTATTAAGGTGATAAGCAAAATATCTTCCAAAAGGAATTCAAAGGCTAAAAAGAAAAAGAAACAGATTAAGAAAGGTAGAGCAACTAAGAAGGATGGATTAAGGAGAAGTACAAGACCCCACAAAAGGATCAAGACCAAGGATAATGATTTGAGCATTCAACAAATTTCGGAGGATGATATTGAAGGCTATATTAGTCAAGGCGTCGTTACAGAAATCATGGATGAAGCGATGTCTCAAAGTAGCCAATCTTCTAAACAGAAAGAAGTAGAGAGCAAGTTCAAAATAAACACTGATAAAGCAAAACCAGGCAACAAAATTTGGAAGAAAAGCATTCTTATTACTAATTCTCATCTTAAAGAAAAAATCACCAGGAATCAAGAAACCCCAAACCATCATGAAAAACTATTACAAAAAGGATCAGCCCAAAGAAAATAAGACCAAAAACCCAAAATTCCAAAATCCCACTCTATATAATCCCCACTCCTCTCCCCCTCTCTCCAACCCCCACCCCATAACCACCCTTGCACCACTACCACCTCCCCTCAACTCCCCCCTAAGCCCACCCTCTCCTCCAAAACCCTGTCCACCCCCTTCCCCCTACACCACCCTCCTAATCTACATCCTAGGTTGCCTCCTCCTACTGATCCTGGTCAGCCTGACCACTGCTATCCACTAGCTCTGGCTCTTAATTCTTATAACTCATTTTTCAATATAGTGCTCTGAGGTTGGGGTTTTGGGGTTTTGGGGTTTTGGGGTTTTGGGGTTTTGGGG